TTGCCGTCGATTAAACTCGATCGCTATCTATTGGCCCGTGGGGCTGGGGATCTGGAGGTCGAAGGCGAAGAGTCTACATGGTGGTGAGCCAGGAAGGCAGGCTAGGGCGCTTAACATAGGTTAAGCCTCGGGTTAAATCCTGGGGTTTACCTTCGATTACTCCCTTGCGGCGACTGTGACTCCAACGGGAAACCGGAGAAAGTAGACATCTCCGGGGAACTTACTGTGTTTCGTGTACTCCAGGGTGTGGGTAATCTGTGATTGATCAACTTCTTCTTCTTTAATTTTTTATGCGCACTAGGATGATGAAATGAAAAAAAAGCGAAGTCCTAAACTTAGTAATAAGGACTAGTTTTTCGTTGATCTTTTGAAATTGAAAAAAGATGTCGATGTGAATTTGCGGATTGGGAGTTTGAGGATTTTCTAGTTTTCGAGCTGATGTACCCCGATAAAAAAAATTTTAATCAAAATATTTTTTCCAAATTTTCAAAAAATCTCGGATGACTCTCCAGAAAATTTTTCTTTTGAAAAAAAATCGGGAAACAAAACAATTGTATTTTTGGGAAATGTTATTTATAATTTTCTAGAAATTTTCGGGAATATACTTTTTTCTTTTAATTACACTGTTGTTTTCTTAATTTTTGGATTTTTCAATATTCTCAAAAAAACGCTATCTAAATTTTAAGAAAAATCCTATTCAAATTTTTGCAAAATTTTTCTAAACCTTTCCCAAAAATAAAATTGTTTTGTCTTCCGATTTTTTTTGTTTCATCAAAAACATTCTCAAAAGTTTTCCAGAAATTTTTTTAAAATTTGGAAAAAATAATAAATGTTTGATTGTACTGGAACGGTTGTATTTGCTCGGGATTTTCTGCTATTTGACGACTGAATGCCTGATATAAATATACATATATATAATCAGAGAGTTATTAACTCAGTATAAATATTGTAATTTAACGAACAGAGACATTAATAAATCGATAACACTCAATACGAAAACTCCTCGAGTTTTCCGGATACAATTCCATCCGACCATCACCTCACACAATCCACAGGGCAACCTAAAAACCAGTTCTTCACCAAACAAAGTATCCATGGAAATGAAAAAAAAAAATAAATATCTACCTTCGATTCCAAGATAAAATGAAATATTCATTGAAAACTCGCGTCCCAAAAAAATGCACTCACTCTATAGTAACAGAAATTCGCTGAATCGTTAAACTTCCATTAAAAATTCATTGCAATTTCGAGAATATCCATTTTCTATTATTCATTTGACATTTCCGGTTGGCAATTGTCAATGTATTCCGTGGCTGTGCTACAAAATCTCTGAAATTATAACAAATTGAGTGTTCCATTCTCCGAAACATGCCATTCTCAATAAATACTGAAGAAAATGTGCCCTGATTTCCCCGAGGAAATTCTGAATTTTTTACAACTCACAAAATACTCCCTATGAAAATACTTCTTTGTCATGTTTTTACCGTTTTATGTGGCCTCATCTCCAGAATTTTATCAGCATATATTTCTTAAAAGCCTTGAGCAGACGATAGAGAGTAGGAAATGAGTATTGTCCTCTTAAAAATCCAAAGAAACTGCACTGGCATCAAGTGAAAAAGGTGGTTGGGGGCAATGAATGGTAGAAAAAAGCTCAGAACGAGTATCAGAGGCCAAGTAATGGGAAAAGACAAAGGACAAAATGCTGAAGGGCTCCTCCCCCTGTTCCCTATCCTCTGATTAAACTACAAGACTGCATTTGGCAATGTCGAGGCCTGCTGTTGAGTAAAAGAGCTAAAGGCATGAGCAAATCGCTCTCAACCCTTTGGAGATGTGGTAGGGGGAGACTAATTCCTTCACTGACAAGAATAATTGATTCCAGGGGGGGCAAAGCCCATTCAATTCACCTCATTTACGTTGATTAAATATTTTTTTCTTTTCTTTCAATGATCTCCGTGATCTTCAGGACAATTAAGTGTCTGTGGAATTCTCTGGGGAATCAGCGAAATAAATCGGTGGGAAACTTTTTTCGGTGGGAACATTGATAGGTTGTGAAAGATTATGGAAAAATGAGGCTTGAATAATTTCTCTCTTGGTACTCACTCTTTTCTTTTAGTCAGGGGTTTAATATGTCTGAGTACTCGAGGTGAGTTGAATGATTAAATATTTTTCTGGTCTTAGGTCAAAGTTTTCGAAATGATAATCCAGTTATGGAGAATTTAAATGGAATTGTAATGAAATTATTATGGATTTGGTATAAAAATTCAGGGAATTTAAATTAGTTCAAGATTTTTATCAGTCTCAGCTCTCTAGGTGGATTGAATAATTATGAAGAATTATCACAATTAGGTATTAAGTAGTGCGTGATGTCCGAGTGTTGGAAATTAATTCACGAATTTAAATTGAAACTCTGAAAGGTTTTTCACTGATTTATTAAATTCGATGGAATTCCGGGGAGAAATTGCTGATAATATAATTGTTATTATATATTTTTCCAATATATTTTCCAATAATTAAAATGTTCCAGTCTTGCAGATCATCTCACGAGAATTAAAATAAAATATCATCGAACATCCAAAAGATGAAAAAAAATTCCTCCAGACTTTCTGTGGTGTATTCTTTTCCATAAATTTGTGCTCATACATCCAGAAACATAAGTACTAACCGTTAATTCAAATACCAATTATCCACAGTTACTTCTCATTAAAAAATAGTTACCGCAGGAAGAAACCGTTTTAACTCCTCGAAATGCATAAAACTGGAGGTTTAATTTAATTTAATCTAGCTAGCATATTAATTCAATTTTAATTTCTCTTCCAGGGAATACTGGTAACTCACAATACAACAGCGAGGGTCATCGAGTCTAATCAAAGTTTAGTACTCCAGAGTGTAACGAGAAATAGTGCTGGTGACTATGTGTGTGCAGCAACGAATTCATTGAGGGAAACCAGGAGTGAACCGCTCCTCTTTCGTGTTAAATGTGAGTAATACATCCAATTAAATATTGAATCGTTTACATCAACCTTCACCGTACCCTTTAATAATAATTCTCAACACAAAATTTTACTCTCTGTTACTATTTTTACTTCAATTGAATTTATTCCTGCGGAAAGTGGCGAGACTGAATCAGTTAACACTATTTTATGACTTTGATTACCAATTATTGCCAGTCTCGTAACATTCAACACCTGGTAATTTTGATAACATTTTTTTAACTGCACATCAGTTATAAATAATCTGTTTGAGAATGTCTGTTATTGTAATTTGCAATTCGAGATTTTTTATTATCAGTTTTGTTTATCATATTTTTTTCATTTTTCTTTTTATTTATGGATTCAGTTTAATTTTTTTTTTTTTGGGTTTATTTTCATTATATTTTATGTTGTTTTTATATTATTTTTTTTAACTGCACGTTTATTATTAATAATCTGTTTTTTAGAATATCTATTATTGCAATTTGCATTGGGAGATTTTTTATTATCAGTTTTGTTTATTTAAGTGCCGTCAATTTATGGATTCAGTTTAATTATATTTTGGGGGTTTATTTTAATGATATTTCATGTTTTTATATCATTTTTTAACTGCACATTAGTTCTAGATAATCTGTTAAAAAATGTTCATTATTGGAATTTCCATTGCGAAACTTTTAATTATCAATTTTATCTATTTATTGGCCGTAAATTTATGGATTGCTTTCAATTATATTCAATGCCTTTTTAATTGTTAGGGATATTATTGATAAGGAGGACGAGAATTATAAAAAAATAGAATCCTTCTCACAAAAATAAAAATAAAAATTTCAAGATAATACCTGAAGATTGATTAAATTCTTCCGAATAAATGACTGAAGAATAAATAATTGCCACATTTATCTCCTCAGGTTGTGTGAAAAAAATGGCAGAAGACTTTTCCAAATTTTTAGATAAATAAATATCTTTTCGCGTACAAAAATAGTGACATTTGCCTGGAAGCTTGAGATGCTCTCCAAAACTGCATTCAAATCCCAGGAAAATCCACTTACATTCTTCCTCTTTTTTTCTCGTCATTCTAATCCTCCCCCTTGATGCAACTTCATCCCCAGAATTTTACATCCCCTCTAGCCTCAACCAATGGAAGTGTAAGTACGAGAAAAAAAAGTCGACGCGGTGAGAAACTTCATAAAGGGATGCGCTTGGAGGTGTTACTGACGGGAAACGAATAAAAAGAATAAAAAAGAAAACTCAATCTCTTGTGAATATTTCAAACATACTTAAGCTTGCCTACATTTTTTATTCTCAATTCTCAGGTTATATCGGCGGGAATACGACGTGCCGAAGAGGGTGGAAAGAATGAAAGTCCGAAGAGAAAAATTGGAGGAGCAAGCGAATTTTTTGTTTCCTTTCTTTCGTCATTGGGATGGAAATAAAATTTTTATGTTTACGGCTGGCCGAAGGGGGAGCTCTTCCACTTTATTCCGGGAATCTAAATTTTTTTCGGGTTGAGGAAGAGTTTAATAAACTCCTTTTATTGAATTTGCGGTGTTTGAAATGATTTAACTTTAAAAATATTATTATTGAAATTCTATTAACATATCTATCAACAATTTTTTCTACTGATTGCGTTTTTTTATCGCAGAGAACAAATCACTCTTTCGTTACAGTTTTAAAAATTTTTATTTAAACTGAAAATAAGTTGAAAAATTCTCTTTTATTAAAAGAATATGAACTAACTAATTATTATTCAATTACGGTGTGCCGATTTTGAATTATTATTGCATAATATCATCTTATGGGCTCAAATCAAATAATTTCGCAAATCATTTATTTAAATCCTCAAAATTTGTAACTCAAATCCAGTAACTTATTGGTCACTTGATTTTCGGGTGAGTTTCCCTTAAATTGAGTGAAGAAACACTTGTTTGAAGGGACAGAAGTTGAAGGTGAATATTTTCAAAGAATTCTATCTTCTGTGTTTGTTCAGTAAAAACTCACGAAAGCGGAGAGCGAGAAGGGAAATAATACAAGATGGAGATTGGAGGATGGGGTAGTTCTCAAATCGTTCATAACTTTCTGGGTTTTACAACGATTTCTATACTGGGTCGCACGTTCTATAGAAGTCATACCGTGACAAAACGCGGGGGCGTGCCTTGAAAACTTGAATTACAACTCCTTTTTGATATTTTTTTACTCGGCTGCGTCCAGAACTAAAGAAAAGATCTTGTAACATAACTCAAACTACCGGCGAATTTTTTGCAATTTATTCTTGAATTTTTAATGTGCATCGGAAAATTCAATCCATTTTCCTCTTTCGATCCTTGAAAATATTGAAATATCATAAATAATTCGAGAATTTAAATATAAAGAGCTAATCATGTATAATTAAATTTTAAATACTTAAATAACAATTCTCAAACTCAGAATTCAAAAGATAATGCATTAATTAATTTAATTTGCAAAAGTAATTTCCAATAATCCAATAAAAAAAATTGTTAATTAAAAAATGCCGTGGTGAATATGTTAAATATTTATTCCCAAAAACTGATTAACAACTGCTGCCAATTAACAATCAATTTCTCAGGTTTTCCCTATTTTTCCCTAGACACTATTAATTTTTTAATTAATTCCAAATACATTAATTAATATTATTTATTTGCACATTAATTTTTGTTTGACCGGTTTAGTTTTTCCATGACCAATTGATTACCTACAACTAATGACAAACGGATCCAACGAAAATTAGATGGGGTTGATAGTAGTAATGGTAAACTAGTAGTCAGCCTCACTTAACGCACACTGGAGTAAAGCACTTCACACCATCAATTTTGCTGGGTTAAAAGCTCACCATAGGCTCGTCATTGCCAGTGGTTGTTTGATGAGTTTACCACTACAGTTTCACGACATCGCTTTACCAAACCGCGATTGAATCAGGGGAAACGTTTGTGGGGAGCGTTTAATCGGTTTAACGCCATCCCAAATAAAGCATTCACAAGTTTCAGTTTTATGGTGAAACAATGGGGACATGCGCCAAAGAATTCTGTAGATAGACTATAAAACACGTGTCTAACGGATCGTGTACCTGAAACTCCCATTTTCAATCGATCACTAAACAATTTAAATTTCCACACCATAGGTTCTAAACTATTATCGATAGATCGTATATACAACAATGAGAGTATCTTCCAAGCTTTTCATCAAAATGAAAAAGGCGCGAATTTCAAAAATCACGTTTTTACGTTTTTCCTTGAATTTCTATGTATTTTCATTTTTTCCTTATTTCTATTCAAAAAAATTGAATTTTTTCTTTGAAGAGAGGAAAAAAGAATTTTTAAGTATCTTAAAAAATATTTTCCCCGAGGAATGACTTATGGGTGAATAAAATCGAAAAACTGATCATTTGTCTTAGAGACTGGCTTTTATTATTATTAACAAAAAAAAAAATAATGTATAAAATGTATTTGGTATATTACATTTTTCGCCGGAATATATTTTCATACATGCAGATGATATAGACGTGCATATATACTGTTAACTAAGCGTCCATTATTTATTGAAAATGTTTATTAATTGATTTGGAGAGATAAAATAATAAAATAACACATGTCGACACATCAGAAGAAATAATCAAAAATAGAATAGAAATAGAATCCTCAACAATATTCATAAAATATTTGATATACAGTATTACTGATCGAGATATATTCTAATATAATTGATATATTTTCCTGGGTGCATTGAAGATGCTGAAGGGAAGTCTTCTAGGATCTTTTTTTTCACTGGTTCAATTTTTTTCTGTACTTTGCAGTTGCTCCGGTGTGTAAAGAGGACAGAATAGTCGTTGTTGGGGCATCAAGGGGTGAATCGTTGAATATCAGCTGCAGAGTGGAGGCGGATCCCCCGGTGAGAAACTTCCGGTGGAAGTTCAACAACAGCGGGGAGACTCTTGAGGTGTCACCAAGGAGATTCACAATACCAAGACCAGGTGACACCAATGGTGTTAGCGTGCTTAAGTACACACCGGCCAGTGAGCTAGATTATGGAACGCTATCCTGCTGGGCAGACAACGAGGTTGGAGAACAGCCGAAGCCCTGTCTATTCCAGATCGTAGCAGCTGGTAACTATTTTCAGATATTTTACTTCCAGCCTCACCATCTTCTCCATCCGCTCCATCCTCTTCATCCTCTCCACCCTCTCCATCCTCTGTATTCTCTCCATCCTCTCCACCCTCTCCATCTCCTCCATCCTCTCCATCCTCTCCATCCTCTCCAAGGTAATCACTCAAAAAAAAATCTGTACCGAAGATTCCAAAGACTTCAACGGACTTCAAGGAATTTCAGGGAATTATTTTTGAATTTGAATTTGGCGGTTCACGTTGACCAATGAGGAATTAGTCCTACGCGTTTCGAGATATTTCGACTCGGGCGGACTTCATTTTTGTGTCTCCACATTCATAATAAAAATAATAAAGAATAATAAGAAACACGGAATGCTATTTTAAATCGTCGTGCGGAATTCATGAATTTCTCCTCAAAATTTCGATGGATTTCAACGGATTTCATGGGATTTCACAGGATTTCATTGGAATTCCAGATTTTATAATATCTCAAAAGATTTCATAGGACTTCATAAGATTTCAATAGCAACTGCACACTCGATTTTGAGATTGATTATCCCTCAGGACTAGAGACGTATCAGGATAAATAACCAGATAATTATTCCGCAATTTGTTAATAATCTTTCGATATATTTAACAACAAAATAATGCCCTAAATCCACGCAATGACGCTCAATAAATAAATGATCAACTCACGTAGGCGGTATTATAAAATAAAAATTGGAAATATTTCTTTATCAAAATTAAACTAATTACTTTCAATTACATACAAAGTAATTGATTATTCTAAAAAAAATACGTGACCCCTTTGAAAATCATCACAAAAAAAACTCCGAATTCTACAATATCGAAAATATAAAATAACAAAGTGTTTGTTTATGTCCCATGGACTGCGAAATTATCTCGATAATGAGAAATTCTTGGAAAGAGTACTACTATACTTTATCCCTTTAATGATTTGGGTATAAAAAAATGCATTGACCCTAAAATAATAAAAACAAACGCTCGTTAACCTAGTGAATGTAGAAAAATTTCCACGTCGTCATGGACATTGAAATAAAATGGCCCATACCATTTCAACAGATTCCTCACGCATTCCAGGGTGGAGGTGCACTTACATAATCACCAATACCATCAGTTCCTGGGCGGGAACCCACCAGGAATATTAAACAAGCTTTCATACCTCCATCAAAAAAATCCCGCATCCGGGCATTCCATGCATGAGATTTTATAATCTCACATTTTACCCAAATTGAAGGGAAAATGGGAAAAACAATTATGTTAATTAGAGAGGGGTACTAATCAAACTGAAAAGAGAATTTTCCGGGAATGGGGAACGATTTTCCTACCGTTTTCCTTGCGGGGATATTTTTTTAATGACTGGAAATATCGGGAAATATTTTCTGATAGATCACGAAATAATTATCATCATATTATATTAATTCGATATAATTTTTCATCTCCGATTTTTATTGTTTACTATTTTCCCTTCATGATGTAATTATTACAATACAATATAATCCCTTAATTTCAGATAAAAATCTACGAGGAAAAATAATAGAAAACCGTGAAAAATTATTTTAAAAAAGAACTTAACGATTTATCGAAATAAATGCAAAATAATTATCGTCTAAATTTTAATTGCTTTATAATGACAGAAAATTAATTTCGGTTATGATGAAATATTCCAGGAAATGAGAACGTAATTATGCAACAGATTCCACTAATTAGAGTTGAAAAACTAATTTAATAACGAAGGCTGTATTTGGACGATTTTTTTTGTTGCAGGAAAACCTTTTCCAGTGCGCAATTGCACTCTCGCAAATCAAACATACACAAGTGTCGAGGTGAAATGCGTTCCTGGATATGACGGGGGATTACCTCAGAGGTTTGTCCTCGAGGTTTATCACGGGGATTTTGATTTTTTGGAGAGTCTCGAGCCAAAGTGGAATGTTTCCAGTGATGAGCCTTTCTTCGCACTTTCGGGATTGGAAGCCTCAGTGGATGCGGGTGTCCACGTCGCTGTTTATGCAATTAATGCCAAGGGTAGGAGTCAACCTGTCGTCCTGAGTGAAGTCACTTTTCGAGACGCCGAAAAAAGAACTGGTTAGTTCATACAATTCTTTATTTAATTATCCGATAGAATTCTTTTTAAAAAGGAATCAACAGCGAAAAATTCATTTTTATTTCAAATTTCAATAAAAATCTCTACAAATTTTATAAAAAACGAACAGCTTGATCGAAACTATCATTTCTACCGATTTCATCCGTTCTATTTTTTCAAATGGACTTAACGGAATTGATCCTCTCATAAATACGACACTGAACACTAATTATACTCCTCAATCAGTCCTTACTCATTTTTCCGATAGAAATCCAACGAAAAGATTTAATTTGGAGTATTCTGTAGAGAAGATTTCGAGAAATCGATATTTTTAATCGTCTTACAAGATTTATAACGTGCAAAAGTGAATTTTTTATCAAAAAATAGATAAATAAAAATATCTCTGAACTTCCCAATGGATCGGTATACATTATTTATCAAATCTTGATAAACGACTTCGAGCCGATTATTTGAAAAAAAAAACAAGACAAATCGGACAGGTAGTTTTTGAGATATGGAAAAAACAAGTTTTATATAAAATGTGGAAAATCTTTTAAAATTAATAATTCGATTTCGCTGAGTTTTAATTCCAAACTCTTTTATTATGCATGGATCTCTTGCGATCCAGTTATATATTTATAATATATATATATATAGATGCGTCATCATGAGGAATATTAATAGAGAATGGAATCTGTCAAACGGTTAAGAAGATATCGGCAGAAACCGATTTTTTGAAAAATTTCTATATCTCCGGAACCGCTCAACGGATCAAGCAGAATTTTGGCTCAAAATTTCACTAATGAAAGGACCAATAAACATTAAAAATATCCGAGCCATTACGTCTACCGTTCTTGATTTATAGGGTCCTAAACATGCGCACGCATATAACCATTTAAAAGAATTAATTTCTTAACATCTCATGAGACTTCTAGTGATTTCCAATGAAATTCAGCAAATGGAAGAATTCCATTCTGGAGCAAAAACCTGAATCTCACTCGAATACTCAGGATTTTTCGCAATGGCATTCCGATTTTTGGAGTATCACTGGAACAATTTCTCTCAGTCGAACAAATTGTAATTTTGACTGCGCAATTCTCGCAGAGGTACCTTGGAATATACTCACCATGGGAGAACCTCTGTGCAACATTTTTATTACTTCTCAAGCCCTCGGCCAACTTTTTTAACCACCGGGCAAAAAGTGGTACAACAAAAGTATGCAGAGAACCCCCAGAAAAACTCGATTTAACGTGTTTGTTAGTGCTACATCCACGGTTATACGGAAAGTTGAAAGCACACGAGTAGAAATCCCGTGTAAAACAGCCAACCAAGTAAATAAAAGTCGACGTCCAGATAAAGGTGAATGTTGGGAGTAAAAAAGTTCCCCTAACGAGCAGAGAACTCGATTAATTTTATCAATTAGCGGATTACCTTCTTATTATCACAATAATAATTTATTTTGGAAGCAATTGTCGGAATTATTCACCACAGAATCATTTGCAATAGCTCAGTGATCCCTCACGCTTGAGGGATAATTAATAATTAATTAGTGCGTGATTATCTGGAGTGAGATATTGTAATAAAGACGATTTAGGATTGAATTTCAGCTAATCCTGTATTGTGGAAAGCATAAATAAATCTGGGGCAGATAAAGGCGAGTGTTGGAAACTTCTGGCTTTCGAGTTTCGGTATGAAACAGATGGTTGAAGCCATTGGAACCCATGGAGATGTCTGGAGGGGTTGGTAAGCAAGACGGATCACCCAGTACTATCGCTAATGCTCTATGGAGGTATAACATTTGGGACCAACCCTCGAGACAAAACCCCAGCCATCAACCTGCCTCCAACACCCTGACACACATTTTCACCGAACGGAATTTCAAATTCTACCCTTTTCAGTTTATTTTCATTTTTTTTTACGGTAAACCCTATTTTCCATATTTTTTTCATTGTAAAAGATCGATTTTAGTTGGACAGTTTCATGTTTCGATTTGTGAATCGATACTTCACATTTTTTACCTCAGCACAACCAATTTTCTATTGGAAAACTGGAAGATTACGTTTTTTGGAAAATTTCCGTGGGTATATGAAAGTTTTTCGTCGATTAGTCAAAAAAAAATTTCATTCGAGGGGAGGAGGGAATTCGAAGGGTTCAGATTTGGTTCAGTGTTCTCTGGAATGAGTTCGAAGATGTTGATATCGGCGTAGTGTTGGCTGAATGTTGGCCCAAGGCAAATGTAAGGTTCATACAGGGTCGGCGCAACGTTGGCTCACGCTTGAATTAATTAACTGATAAATTGCTGATAAAATTCTATTGAACTCCAAACATTTTCTCAAACTCTGCGAAAACCGAAATAATTGTACCACACATTTTGAAAAATCGATTCGTCCAAAAAACTTCAACTAGAAAAGTTAAAAAAATAATAGAACTACTAATCGGAATTCCTAACGAACGCAGTAGATTGTTTTTTATGAAATTTTTTATTCGTGAACACCTCTAAAATTATATGATAAGGCAAAAAGAGGAGGTGCAGAGAAAGCACGAGGTAAATACGTTATGTCCAATTAAACGACGCAGATGTACCTGGAAAATTGTTTATACCGAACAAAAGGGGAATTAGGGTGACAATGGAGGCGACTCGTGGAAATTACACGAGGAATTCTCCCATTTTTTCAGAAGAATTCAGATAGAGGATGAAAAGAGCGCGAATGACGGTAATTAAGGTCATTTAGGGGATTCATGAGCTGAAACTTTCCGTCGTAACATAATAAAATCCAAAGACAGAATTTTTTAAATAAATAAATCGGTAGGCTGAAGGAATATAATAGACCATTAAAACCCATCCCGAACGCAAAAATTTAATTTTTATTTTAATTTAATTAAATTTAATTAAATTTAATTTTAATTAAATTTAATTTAATTTAAAATTAGCGGTCGATTTTTTCTGTCGTCTATTTCTTCAGGGATTCAAATAAATCTTTTATATAAACGAAAATCAAATAAATCAGGGACGGACTCAGGACTTATCAAATACGGGAGCCCAACGCATTATAAATATCCCTCATACTCTCCTCGAAGAGTTGAAACAAATCAAACAGAAGCGAAAATTCAAACTCCTGGGGAGAGCCAGGACATTCGAGAGTAACCAAAACACCTCTGTAGCTCTAATTCATTGAATCACTATTTATGTCTCATTTTCATCTCACTAAATATTATGTTAAAACTCAGCGATTGAAACTACAGGGAAAATACTCGTTTCCTTGTGTGTATCTCATGCACACGAAATTTATAATTTTACGTTGACGTATCGATCGATAAATTCCATAAAAATAGAAATTAACTTTAAAAAACTGCTGTTATCAGATAAAAAGATATCTTTCCTCCATTTTGATCAGATCAATTGAAATCAGTTATTAAAAAAATATCAAATGCATCAATTAATTACTGAATTTCTTTACCGAATAAAATGCAGTAAATTCCTGTAAAAAATCTAGAAAAATCTGAGGTAATTAGCCCTTAATTCAAAAATAAAGGGTTGTAACCCTTCACTGAAACCCTTGAGCCATTAATTTTTCTGCCGACTTTTGGCTTTCAGTTCTCAGTTGGTATCTGCGCAAAAATTTCCCTCGTAATTTCCATTTTTCGGACTTGAATAAATTGAGATATGCAAAAAAAAAAACTAATTAACTCCCTCGGCACCTCCACTGGAATGGAAAAAAAGGGGAAAAAGTGGGGTTGTATGAGTAGTGTAAAAACGTAAACCCTTGGTGCCCCTAGTCTGTCCCTTTTCTACGACAGAGGAAAATGAGGTAAACAGGAGCTAAGTGAAGTTAACGATGCTACCAACGAAAGAAAGCACTTTCTCTGACGAATGTACGTAGGAGTTGCTAGAAATTACCTCGGGAAAAATAAACACAATTAGGACCTGCATGAGACTTCAAAATTTTCCTGAAGGAAAAAAAAAGAATGAAGACTAATCAATCCTCTTATTCTATCTCAAAATAATTTATTACAAAATTAATAATAAATGGATTAGATGTCCCTGAATAACCATTTAATAACCACTTGTTTAAACAATCTTATAAATATAAAAAATTCCCATTTATCGGTGTTTTCGGTATGTCACACTCTGAAGTGTACGTTTATTAATAATAATCGTAACACTCGATTCATTTATGTATTATTTATAACATGTTTATTTAATTATATATCAAATTTTTCAAATCTATTTATTTAATCAAGATTTATTAATGATAATGCATCGAATTTCACGTGTCACGTTTTCAGAAATATCAAGTATATTTATATATTTATAATTTATATTTATTAATTATTACTATTTTGAGTAACATTTCTGCCGATTTGTTGATCAATAATTTGTAAAAAATTTTCTCCAGTCGATTCATTTTTCAGATTTGGCTCATTCGCTTTCTCAAAGTTTGACAGTTGTGAAGTTTCATCAGACCATTTCAATTGTTTACAAAATAAATTCGTTACTTAGCAACTACCAGGAGAATATCCGAGAAATACCGGAAATAATACCCCCCACCTCCCCCACCAATTATATCAAATGCGTCGTTCCTATTGGTGATAATTCCGACAGGGGAAATAATCAACAAAATTTCTACACCTCCAGCTCATTCCATTCAATATTCCCCCGAAATGAATCTTCCCCCCAAAACAATCTGTCATTCTGGGTCACACCATCCCCATTAATTCCATAAATTCCCCTCGAAAATCAATGCAACCACTTCCCCAATTAAAATTAATTACACCACCACCTCTGCGTGAAAAAAAAAAATATATATCAAGTCCCTGGGAATCCGTAGATCCCTGAGGCATGGCAACACCAACGGCAAGGGGTAGAAACTCCATTGACCCTCTAAGACAGTGCAACCAGGATACAGTGGATTGCACCCCGAATAATTTTGGTAACAGTGCCCTGCGGAAATTCAAATTAGGGATAACGACGTCGTGGAAGGGAATGGACGATAACGGGCGTGAGATAACGGGAGCGACATCGACTGTGGATGGAAGAAAGTGTAGTTTGGAGGGAACGAGAGGGTAAAATCTAGGGGTTGTGTGGGGGATGGAGGGGTTAAACTACTCTAGGCGTGATCCAGCGGTCTTTCATGGAAAGGAGACGACAGGGGAAAGGGGTAAGGGGTGAGGATGGAATATATACGAGGATGCGACTTGCCAGGTTGCAATAATTGAGATAGGGGCCACGAGACCAAAACCCCCACGTATAAGCCTTTCAGTATTCTCACCGACAATCAGCCAACTGTAGATAAGAGGTTATTGCCGAGTGGCATTCGATGGTTAATATTGTATTTACTACACGGTTTATCCTAATTTTCATCGTGTCCACTGAATTTTTTATTTTCAGAGAATTTCGTCGGGGGAATTCCGGAAAATTTATTTTTATTTTTTGAAATATGAAAATGGGAAAGGAAATATTAAATTGTTGTTAAGTTTTTAGTTTGAATGAAGAACTATGTCATTGTTTAATGTAATTTTGATTGTGTTAATGTTAACGGAATTTTCAGTCGATTTTTGGCAATCGTCTGCGAAGTTCTGGAAAATTTGTTTCGGTTTTCATGAGAGCGATATTTTTTAACTCGTGAAAATGAATATTAACTAGTCAATTTTTTAATGAATATTGAGAGTTCTGTTATTATTGAATATGATTGTGATTATATTGATGATAAACAAATAAATTTCAAGAGAATATTTTCAATGAATATTGAATATTTGTTTTTGACGGATTTGTTTTTAAAAAAACGTGAAAAGCCGGAAAATTCATTAGCCCTACAATTGATAGAATTTTACCGAATGGATTGGCGAGTGAAAAAAATCAGCAATTAAATTCCATTTTCAATGACTCATTGTCCTCGTCCCCGAGTAACGCTGAAAATGAAAGAAAAAAATCCTTTCATTCTTAAAACGCTTTTCACATCAAATTCAAATCATAAATCTTGCTTTTAACGTTCACAAGACCGCGTTAAAAAAATTTCACCACTTTAATCCGCGGAGATAATGCACAAAGAGCTGTTGGATCACCTTGAAACTTCTGTTATCATGGGCAACCAGCTGTGGTGGTGGTCTAGATCCTATAGGTTAATGCAGCAAAAACACGGCCATTCTTGTTTTTAAAAAACCCTCTGAACCCGACCAATTTAGTCGATGAATACCGGAAGTGTTATTATGAATATCTTCCCCTGAATTCTTTATTGATTCGCCCTCAGGGACGAGCATCTGAGAAAGTTCTCACAAAGTTCGAGAGAAGATATCGACGTGTCTAATAAAAAATTCCTCCTCAATTTTAATAATTAACTGTTTTTGTGAACCAAACGAATCCAATTAAAATCAAATTTAATCGTTCGTTATGAAGATTGTAATATTATAAATATTAATGTATTATAATTAGTTAAAATATTATTTTTTCCCGCAATTTCAATTTGCAACCGATAAATTTCGTTTTTATGACGAGCTATTCTTAAATTATTAATTATCATTATGTTTAGGAATAAATCCATTAAAGAGATTATTGTAATATTAATATGTATTATCGTATGTCGCGTGCACAATTAAAAAAATTGAATATAGAAACTGATAACAATAGAACTTACGTGGAATATTCAATGTAGGATATCATTATTTATTTAAAAATCAATTTTTTAAATCTCTGAGCGAATTTTTCCGCGGAATTCTACATTTTTAAACACAAAATGTTCTGAAATTTCAGTAAAATTTCAAGCAATGAAAAATTCCAGAATCTGTCACGAAAAATTCACCCTCTAATGATAATGGACTGTGCTATTAATAATGATAATTAATTGAATAAACTTTCAGGATCACAATTAGATTTTCAAGGGTTGAGAGCAATTTTAGGTGCCCTCGTCGATAGCTGGACAAATTTGATAAAAATCATATGAATCATTGAATGTTTGCAATTGGGACTGTCTTTCAAATGATTATTGCATGGGAAATTAATTTTAAACAATCCCCGGGAATAGCCCAGAACAAGGACAAATTCCTTCGACTGCCGTATTTCTAACAACGAGAGAGACAATTTGATTGAGAATTCCCAGGATAGGAAATACGTCCTTCCATCACGTTCGTATGTCGATATCTGTTTTACACTCTGGCTCAACTGCGATTGTTAAGAATTGTATACGACGTGCAACCGAAAATTGGAAGAACTCTAAGTGCATTGAATTTAATTCGATTAGCCACATGAAGGGATTTGGAGCGACATTGATGCAGGTCTCATGTTTGATTTGGGGAAACCAAACAAACTGAAATCAAATTAAACAGGAAAAGAACGAGATATCGAAGACAACTAATCGATTAATTTATCTATTTCTTCATTTCAGATTTTTAACTAAATCAAATAGTTTAATTTTCATACAAAAATCCAATATTAGGTATTCATTTCTATAATTTCTATTTAATCTGATAATTTCACGTGAAAAACGCCATAACTCCAATAAAATGGCGGCAATCGACGGACGTATCTTGATGTTCATTCACTAATTTTCGAAATGAATACACAATATCTCAGCTAAATACTAACGGAAGAGATAAATAACCCCTAAAACCGAATCGTTATAGAAAACCATTACATCTTTTCACCCTTCCATGAATTACGAATTTTAATTCTTTTTTTTTTCATTAATTTTTTGGAACAATTTGCTGTAGTGAAATGCGCAATCGCTGGATGAATCTCCATTTAATTCATCAGATTGTACCACTTGGTTTGAGATTGATGGAAATAACTGGTACAATCCCTGCAATCTGGCCGGATGTTCGACACACATAATATACCGGAATGAGTTACCACCCTTGCGGAAAGGGAAACGAGGGGTTTATCTTTACAGCTAACCAACGACGTCTTCCCCATCCCATAAAACTCGATTAGACTCGCATTACAAATTTTACGAGTTGAGGATAGCTCTGCAAAACCTCTGTGACGTCTTCCTGGTACTTGAACATCGGTATCGAAGGTGTGACGTTGAATGATAATGAAAAGGGCGTCAAGTCCTTGACGGTTGCAGGAAAATTAGAGAGTGATACTGCGCAGCTTTCATTAAGAGACTTCCTTCTGCCAAAGTACGAGAGTACCCCGTGTATGTTCAACGGAAAATTAAGAAAAACATTTAATTAATGAATTTAATTATTTAGCCTCATTAAAGACGGAAATAACTTGTTTCTTCATACTTCCGGTATTTTCTAGTTCAGAAGGAAAACTCGGGATTTACCCAAGTTTTCAGGCAATTCCGTAACCTGATGAACATTAATTAATTATTTGGTGCAATGTTAGATATTGTTATGTATTTGTTATTGTTTTCATCTTCTCTACTAAATTCACATTTACATTAATTTTGTTCAGCCAGATTTGTATTTATTTTTTAAGCAATGGACACTCGATAGATAATAATATAATTGTTTGATTATCATTTTAATTATTCAACGATATTATATTTTTTATTTATAATCGTTTTGTTGATAATAATCAGAGATTATCCTGACCAATTCTTTCTCGATAAACAAATATTATTTATACGATTAAAAACTCGTCAATAATAAAAAATAAATTAATGACAATTAGTTTTTTGGAGTCAAAGGATTTTTCTTGAGAGAAATAAATGGGAAAAGAATTTCTTCTTCTATTACTGCCGCAAAAATCATTGACCCAAAGCCCTGGAGTTGATCAAGACATCTTGGACGGTGTCCTCTACATAAATCCATGTACATAAGGCAGTACATATATACTGGGTATAGTGTAGGTACTTGTTGGAGCAAGTCCCACGTGAATTTAGAGCGGTGGTACCCAGAGCATAAGGACCACAGGCAATAACCACTCGGTGGAGGTTTATGCTGGTGTATCGTGGTTGCACGCCAACAATTTCGTTAATTATCCAACAAAAACACCAGGCCAAGTCTCACGGTATCCAAAGATATAACTGGGATGTTCCCATTTACTTTTTTTTCTATAATCTTTCTCTCTTTTCACGTGATACACTGAACTGCAGAAAAATTCTGATGTATGCGCTTGCATGAAAAATATAATAGAAAAATTTGGCGCTTGCTCCAAGAATTTTTATTTATTCGGTGCAACAATTATTATTATTATTTACGCAAGAGATTTTTCGGGGAATTAAGGGTACTTGGTTAGATTTTTCAATTAAAAAAATCTTCTATGTAAAATAAAAATATTAAATTAATAAGTAAATAGGAAATAAAGCTTTGGAGGTGAATAGGGATTTGGAAAAACTTGGAAAACTATTGGAGATAAGAGATTTGAGGAGATAAGAAGAGGAACAAGTGGGAAATAGTTATTTATTAGGGAGAGTGAGAATTGTTCAGGAGTTGGCATCTCTTTTTCTGGTTGACAGGGCAAGACGCAGGCATGGTTCTGTCTCCCCTGATTGGAATCATCGTGGGAGCTCTCGTCACACTTGTCCTCATAGTTTTTGTTGTCGTCATGAGGGCACGAAGAGACCGGATATCCAAACCACGTCACGAAAAACCTGCTGAACTGAGAGAAATACCGACGCAGCAGTATCCCAACCAAAGCCCCCAGCAAACCGTTGAAACGGATCCAGACGTTATTCCGAACAAGTTTGGTAAGCAAAATCCATTTTTCTGAATTACACGAGTTGATGAATCCATGGGGATTTTTATATTTCTTTATATATTGTACCCAGTCGTAAATAAAAATAAAAAACTCTAAAAACTCTAAATGAAAGTAAAAATAATTTTCAGAGAGTGACATTGAATTTCATTTCGGTCGGACCAAAACAAGGATTTTTCACTTAAAAAATTAAAATGTCTTTTTTATTTGAATTCTAAGTTCTAATTTTCAATGGAATTAAATTTAACTAGGGATTACATTGAGAGAAAAATTTAGTGAAATGTAGGCAATTTATTTGTTTGCACCAAAAATTATTGTTTTTATTAAATTATTTTTAAAACAATCAAAAATGTTTTTGTAGTAATTATTTGATTAATTTCTGACAGATTCTCTCCAATTTACGGTTTCCTAACAAATATGTATTAAAAACAATTAATTATTTAATTCTACGATATTCATTTTTTGTGACTATTGAAATTTTTTGTTGAAAAGTTGAAAAATATTTTTCTAATCTTAATATAGAAAAAAAATGATTACTTGAGGCGGAATAATAGATTCAAATTCGAATTGTTAATAATTCTTAACAACTAAAGTTCCAATTGAACTCCAAAATTTCAACTAGTTGTTTTAAACAAATATATCGAAATCAACATTCAGCACTCGCAATCACACCTGTATCCTCGACTCCTAATTAATTTCATTAGTCACTTTCAAAACACTTTATCTTTAATTTCCATAACTCGATAAATTCTTCAGTTTCACTTGATTTATTTGTCGCGATTGGGAATTGCTCTACTAATAATGATGTTTATCCATCAAATAACTGAATAATTCAATTAGAAACTCAAAATTTATTTAAAATTTGATATTTAATTAAGGAAGATTGGATGACTTGAGTCTGTGCATTGATTTGAATTGAAAAAATGACGATTTATTTTGCAGAAGGTCATCTAGTGGAGGTCAGTCCCCCCAGCTATCCGGTGGGATATCCAAGTGGCCACTGGGTGACACCAGGTCCAACCCCAAGTATTGACGAACTCTGTCACAAGTTCACAGGTCGTCCAACAGAGCTGCGACTCCCTTCAAGAAGTACAATACCGACTCTCTCGAATTCATCAATCACAGGGGTTGTGGTTGGTGCTGGTCAGGGTGTATTCGTTGCCGGGGAATGTTTGGACGGGGAAGCCATCAAAAGGCGGTTAATGGCCAACAGACTCCCCGAGAGCTGCGTCTAAGCCCCAGAAGATTGATAGAAATATATCAATTAGTTAATGAAAAAAAAAAATCAACTCTTCCCAATCAATTCGACGACTTCTCGTCGTTTTTGACGAGTGAAAACGAAAAAATGTGATTCAACTGAAATTCCAAAAAACAAAATTCCTGTAAGAATTCCCTCTGGTGAATTACTCATGCAATTGATTTATTATTTTCATTATTTATTTAATCAAAAGATATGGCAGTTTTTCAATTAGATTTTTACACTTTCTCCTAGGATTTTTTTTTTCAGGAGAAATCTGCGAATGGCATTTTTTTTTCATTGAATGTTTTTGATGAATGTTTTGGAATTGTTTTATTGTCGAGTTTATAGTTGGCCGTTGGGAATCTCATGAGGAAGTTTTTCATACGTGTATAAATCTCGATTATTATTCGAGTCAGGATGACCTGAGGGTGAGTGGTTTGCTCCAGTGAGCCACAATTTCATTCGATACCCCGAAAACCTACCGCAAACCAATTATGTACCCCAGACCCATTCTCAATTCGATTTTTTTTATTTCCACGAAATACGTGATAGGAGAGTTTGGATTTCTCGCACACATCTCGAGGAAAGCGAGGAAGATTGATGGTGGAGGCGCGTTAAACATTGAGAGCGATCGGAGAAATGGTGAGACAGATGGAATGAATTCTCCAAGTGAGAGAGCCGATATTTGGGGTAATTTACTTGAGGTCTTAGAGGTGGGAGTTCTGCGGATTGTCGATACTTCGATTAACTAATGAACATCGAGCCGAGGGTTGAGAGAAGGAATTGGGAGTTGGAGTTACGGAAAGGAGTGAAACGTTATTGAGGAATTAAATGGATTCCCTCGAATTATCTTCTTTATCTCCAAGATAAAGAATTCAGGAAAAATGCCAGAAGTTTTTTTTTCCGAGTGCAGGAATTTTCTACGAGAAATAAAAAACAACATCTAGACGATTTCTCCTGAAGTTCCACAGCTAGAGTTCTTCTCGGGGTATTTTCACGATCGTAAAATGATGAGACACACAAACGTATTACATTTTACCGGAATTACTCCTTCCGAGGTTTCTTCAACTTCCCTTTCCTTTCAGAAGCACCAGATGTCACGGGGCTGAGGTTGGGGATGTATGAGTGACTCGGTGAAGAATAGAGGTAAAATTGTTGGGGCGAAATGAATTTAGGAAGTGCCATGTGACAAAGTGTAAAGAGAAAATGACTTTTCCGTTTTTTGTAAAACCGCATTCCCTCTGGATTTTCCACCGCAACGATTTTTTCTCTCATTCCAGTGGTTCCAGGACTTCAAGAAAAATCTCCGCGAATTTCTGGAAATTTGTTTTTTCAGTATCAGATATTTATCCATTTTTTTAATAACAATTTTCTTATTCTTTTTACCAGTTTTTCAAGTGTTTTCCATTTGTGATGGGACATTTATGTTTTATATTACGAATGTTGAAGGGAATGGGGTCTGGAGTAACCCTAAATGACTCTAAGAGTGATTGGATGATTAGGAAAATGCGACAACGACTGATCGTCGATTTCCGTCGGAGTAAGACCCAACAGTGATAATTCGACGAGTGAAAATTTGTTAGTGATTTAGCTATCATTAGAATACTGTTGTATATAATCGTTACGAGATATTGAATTGAATGAGACAACTCTGAGAAAAGACTTCGACATTTTAATGAAGAAAAACACTCGTTGCATTTTTTAGGCGATCGAAGCGTCAACGTGCGATTTTAAATCGATAATATGAGACGTAAAATTGAGGATTTTGTTTGTAAATAGGATTAAGACTTGTTGACCTCTGACGCCTTCATATCCAACTCCATATCGTCTCGAATCACTTCGTATGTATATAATATATAAAGTTTTAATTGTAATAAACTATTAACTGTCAAACTGCCACTTACGATCTTTCATTTTAATTTTTCCTTTCACAAATTATTAATATAAATGCCATTGATGTTTTAATAAATAAATTTCTGTTGAAACGATTGATAAATTTGAAGAATACTCCATTTTCCCGGAATTCCCAGAAGGAATTGCATCAACTCCCGGCATTCATTAACTTCCGTAATAAAATGTCTCGCGAATTAATCTCTAATTTACGAAATCTTCTCGTAATATGACGGGAATAAATTCCAGTCGACAGTTTGATGTGGATTTCTCGTTTCCCGTTGTTTTCCTATCTCTTCTTTTTTACTCAGTATTTTCTATGCTTGGGAAATAAGGGACGACACTGGGAGATAAGATGAGCCAGACGTTGACGTGTCGTGAGAATCGTTTAAGATGCATCCCCTAAGAGATCTCCAGAGTGCTCTTGCCATGGTGAAGAGAGAAGAAAAAAATGTATAAAACTCGTGAGGAATTCTAATCTCGCAGTGTGGCATTCACCTTGTACTCCTGTCTCGAGAAGTCGTACTTCTCACATCGTCTCTCTTTCGTGTGGGGTTTCTCCGAGCGGGGAATACGTTTTGCGGGTGAAAATAAAATGATAAAAAGAAAATAGGTGGAACATGTGGCAAATATATCTTTTACCATCAGTTACTGTGCTTGGAATATTTATTGGAAATTGGAAATTATATCGGGAAAGCACA